GGGGGGAAGAAACATCTACTCTTAAAAAAAAAATAAAATCTACTACTAAACACTTTTAACTCCTGCAGCATTCAGAGATGCAGGAATTCAGTAAAGCTTTTAGGAAACCTCTCTAATAGTAACTGCTTACAATGCCATTCAGACAGGCTCTTTTCAAAAAAGAAAAGACATCCATGTAAATTCTTGCAGATCACAGACACATCCTACACAGAATTGACAGAGACCTGGTCATAATCTCTCGGGCTGAGAAACAGAGAGACCTCAGACTGCTTCCAGATCTGAAAGAGTTCACAGGGCATCACTCCACAGCTCATTAAGCATCAAGTAAACAGATACTCACTATAATATCTATTTCCCTAGAACACATAACCACAAATAGTGTGCTTTATGACACATCATGCAGATACTACTTCAAGGTTCAACTTAAACTTCTCTGTTGACTGACAGAAAACCTGAGAAGGCTTATCATCAGCCAAACACTATGATCCTAAAAAGCTACCTACATTTGAATCACATTAAATGTACACTTGAATACAGGTAGGCATACTGACATTTCTCAGGCTGCAGCGTACCTGTGACTACTACTGAGAGCTGCCTTAAACGGAAGGCCTTCATCACAACTTACTTAAACAGGAAAAGGAAGGAAAAGACAGTACTTGTAAACTGTCAAGTCTTCCCACTCCTTCAGGAAGAATTAACCAATACAGGTTAAGTCTCGGAGTAAGGTAACTGTCTCCCTGAAAGAAAGTAGACTATATTCTGTGTTGCACAAGCAACAAATATGACAAAAAGGAAGTGGAAAGACCAAACTTCTGTATGACACAACTTGAAAAGATATGTCCTTATTGTGCAACATTAAGCTACTGAAGTGTCCTGCTCCTGATTTAGAAGTGATTCTTAAGCAAGCTGTGGTGCAGACTCTACCTACAGTTATTTCAATTAACTTTAGGACTTAAGCAGGTGATAAGATTCTTCATGAGTCCTTTCAAATGAAGATTTGGGTTTCTTCTCTTCAAGATACGTTTATATCTTCTTCTTCTTCTTCTTCTGTACTGAAGACAGCTGCTCAGAGCAGAAGAGGAGATGTGTGATAGCAGCGTATCAAACTCAATAGCATACCCTTCAATTCAAAGTCTTTAATGGCTCTTTGCAATACCAACAAGTGCAAAGGTGAAATGGAAATACAGTGAATAAAGTGGCAGAAAGGGAGGAAGACAACACCAGTAGGAATAGAAACACACCTGTAAACAATGCTGCCTCCAAGGAAAAGACTGCATTCGGAAACTGAATGCAGAAGACAACTATCAGGCAGAAGACACAACTGGATGCAAAGAGAGATGGTACTGCCTGAAGGTCATTTTTCCCCCTTCATATTTACTCTAACTTCTCTATTTAAACAACAAGCAGAAAGAAGATCAAATTTAAACTCAGCCCCTCAAAGGATGTACATTCTTAAGGAACAAAGTGGGATTTACTATACTTAAAACCTTAAAAAAAAATTGTTTAAGTTTCACACAGGACTTGTGATATGCAAATCTAGCAGCACTACTACTAAAACCAGCTTTCTCACTTAAGGGATAGACAAGTCCTGCTTCATCCTTTAAGAATAGCTGTTCTTAGGAGAACAGTGACCTAAAAGTTACCTTGTTGAGAAGAAATTAGTAATTGATTGGATTCTTCACTTGATGGGACTATCAAATACTTCCAGTTAGAAAACCAAAGCCAAATGAACATCAGATCTCTTGATGTTGTTCTAACTAATTTCAAACAATCAGATGTGGAACATACAAGCAAGACAGTATAGACCCTGCCTCTCCAAAGCACAGCTACAGGCCTATCTAGACCCGTCCACTAGGACTAATTGAAACCGGTGGAGAGAGGGTAAACACATCATGACCTCTGGACACATTTTAGATGCACATTCTTAATTAGTTCTTCATGCTCTGCAACAAATTCTCTTACCATCCCAAATAACTGCAAAGTAGAGAGGAATATGCTCCAGCATAAAGGCTATTAAGGCTAAAGGTGAATGTTCCTGAAAAGCACAGTCTGAGAGAACACTACTGAGGTGAAGCTTCACTTTTCTGGATAAAATATCCAGCTGCACAGTTCTGAGATAGATGATGTCAAATAACACATAGCTCAGTCCTGAACCTAGGAAAATAGTGTGAAAACCCACGGGACAGCCAAGAAAGGCAAGAACAATTTCAGGCTGTCATCCGAGTCAAAACATGGATCTGTGTGTTTGGAGACAGTGAGGCAAGGCCAGCCAACTCCCCAAGAGAATTATGTTATAAGAATTGAGCTTATGACAATGGAAGACCTGGTCCTGAGATGTAGTTGCACAGACTTCCAGTATCTCCTATACAAATACTGTTATTAGCACTAGTGGTTCCAGCCAGCAACAGAGGGGAAACACCAACAGAGGGGAAACAAAAACCAAACAAACAAAACTAAACATAAACCACAGCAAAAAAAAACCAAACAAAACCCAAACAAACAAACCCACCATGTGGTACAGTAAAGTATATTTACTATTCATCACAATGAAGCCTTGAATTACAGCCAAGGGGTTCAAGACAACCAACTCAATGCATTGCAGGTAACTCTCAGCTGTAACCTTCTTTCTGGTGATTTTTTTTTCCAAACTGGAAGGATATAACAGGCAGAGAGAGAGAAATACTCTGGAAACTGAGCATTAATGATGGTTTGAGAAGTTGTACACTTTTGTCCACTTCTGACTCCTATTCCTTCCAATGTATTCAAGTAATTTGGATGCCTTTAACAGGTACCAGGCTTATGCCATCCAGTTGTATGCCATTTTTATTCTGTTTCAGATATAGCAGGTGTTACAGCAAGAAAACACCTGCTGTAGGCAAGGCAGAACTGAAATCATACCACCCAAGATCATATTCCCAATCATCATCTCTAGGAGATAAAAGGGAAAAGAGCTTCTCCAAAACAACATAGCAAAGTCAGACCAGAAAATACCACGTACATCTGGAAGCAAAATGCACAGTCTGAATCTAAAGAGGAAAACACTCAGAACAGGTAACTGTGCATAAAGAGATATTACTAACAGTAAAATACAAACCTTGAAGAAGGGGAATGCAGAGATAAATAATTAGATGAAACAGTTTCTGGAGCACAGAACGACAGCGTGGCAAAGCACACCATGACCTCTCTATTTATCTACATCAAGCACCTAAGCGGCAGGATGCACATGTGGCATACAAGACACTAGAGGTAAACACAAGTATGAAAACAAGGTGGCGTAAGTGCACATATAGCTACCGTTTGAGTATGTAAGATAGGTAACGCCAAGAAAAAAGTGAGACCTTGAAACATTTGTTTTGGTAACAGTCATCAAAACGCCAATCAGGGATAAACGTGAAAGTCTCCTTTTCCAGAATGCCTTCCAAAAGTGTTTCTTCTCAGAAGCTCAGACTTCTAATACTATAGACTGATGAGTTAAGTAGCTGTGACTTCAGTGATTACCTTGCAACATAGTGTTTCTGTGCCTTACTTAATTCTGTTGGCTAACAATATACAGCTGCTATACATAATCTTATAAGAGTTAAAAAGACTGTCTCTACCAGCTGAAAGGGAACAGCTAGAACCTGAAGCACACACACAGGTCAATCTTTTTTCTGCAGAATATTCCAAATACTGCAAACATTTTCTACTTCTGTATTTTTAACTCATGGAAAACAACAGTATCTACAAAAGGAACATAATTTCAAAGCAATAGGAACAGTTTCTCAGAAATGCTCGCCAATTGCTATTTTACATATATCCACAGTATTGTAAAACTAGGTAATTGAAGACGGGTCTTTGAAATCACACCACAACAGACATGTAATTTCTAGGTATCTTCATTTTGGTCACAGGTTGACTAAGTTATTTTCAATATTCAATGGAATATTTACATTTATACTTTCACCTTCATAATTCTCTAACATTTTAAGCAGAAAACTTACACAGCTGCAGATATAGACTCTGAACTCAATGTAGGAGTTAAAGTGCATTAAGTTGTATCTGCTACTAGTATGAGCAAAAAAAGCATTCCAAATCTGATTCACAGTTACATATTAAAATAATATCAAAACACTTATTTTAAAAATGTATTTTGAAAAGCTACTTTTAGTTAAAGCTGAATATACTTTTCATCCTTCTACCTTAATCTTACAATGCACAAACTACAGTATTTTTACTAATCTCAGTACAAAAAATTAGAAGTCCTCAACTCATTTAAAAATTTTTATTCATTTAGAAACTTAATTTATTGCTTTAAGAGATGTTAGAAAAAAAATAAATATGGACCAATTTCTCAAGTAAATGAAGTGGTGCCAAACCTGTTCATAAATAACAAATTCCTTCAAACTCAGGGTTTCCCACCCACACCCTGCAGGCTCTTGAATTTGAGTTTGCTATAGAAATAAACAAACAGAAATAAAAGCCCAACCCAGCCTTAATGCCCTCTCTCAAGTTCAGAATCAATTTCGTGCCTTCAGTCACAAGGTTCTCTGTAACAAACCTTTACTATAAGTGCAGCTCTGCAATTTTGTGCATAACCATTCTATTTGAAATGAAAATGATTTAAATCAAGCAACAAAATTTGCTCTCAGTTCTCCTTCAGGACCAATGAGAGGAACATACATGGAATAGTAAAAAAAATAAAATTGAAACAATACTTGGAAAAAATCCACAGTAAAAATTCGGTTATATACTTTCTTTTTCTTATTTAAGAAGGATAGATTTTAAGTTTCGTGAAGACAAAGAAATTAATAATTAACAGGTATTTAGGCATGAAAAATATCATTACTCCCAATGGACTCACTATATCCAACTGAAAATGTTATAATTTTTCTAATTTTGTTTTCCTTGGTTGTAATATTGAACTTGCTTTCTTTGGTTCCAAGCTTCTTCAAGAAATTCTTGGTTTATACAAACCAAATAACAATATGTGATGTCCTCAAAATAGTATCAGGAGCACTTACTCATCATACTTGATATGATAAATAGCTTCTTCATCAGTGTCCATACAGTCTGAATAAGATGTGGATGGTGTACTGTCCAAACTATTTGCATTTTCTCTAGAATGGTCTTGACTTAAGTTTCCATTAGTCCTTTTGTAACTGTTACCACTCTTTCCTTGAGCTTTACCATTCTTATGTCCCTTTGTTGCTCTGGTAACATTCTCTATATGAGCTTCAAACCAGGCTCCAATGCTGACATCACGGGCATCCACCAATTCGTTTATCTAGAAAGAAAATTCAATAATGAATGTATGCTTACTTTATGTAATCCCTATTAAGAAAAAAATTAATAAGACAACTTACCATGTTACTGCTTAACTTTGTTATCAGTAAAACAATCAACTCCAGTAACAAATTGAGCATGAGCAAGTTCAAGTAACATGCAGTCATGAATATGCCACACTACCACTCTTCCCTCATTAAAATCTATTATTAATATAATCCGTATGTAATTTCCAAAAGCAAGGTTAAATCAGACTTTTTCTTTTTTTCCCCCCTCCAGACCTGAAAGTTACCTTAATCTCTCTCATTATCCTTTCCTCTTGCTTCACCCATTTTTCTTTACCGCCAAAATAAGCATACACAGCATTAAAATACTACCTAACAATCAAGGAGTTTAAAGACTTTCCTAAACTTCCAATTTGGAATTATTATCTAACCTTCTACCTTTCTGACCTGCAAGACTTTAACCCTTCAGGATCTGAGGAGAGAGAGGAATCAAGTCTAGCAAGGGTACCAAGACAGTCAGCCAAAATCTTATGACTGTAACAAACAGAACTATCTCCCAGAACTTCTCCCTTCTGTACTCACAGTAATACTGGTATTAAGCAACCAAACCACTTTACTATTCTAAATCATGTTTCATTTTTTCAAGTCTTCAGCTGATTAAGCAGATATTTCTTTAATAATACTGAGAACACTGAAAGAAAAAAAGATTTAAAGAATATTTCATCAATGGTACACTACGTATAAAAAAAAATAATTACGACAGAACTACTGCTTAGCCATAACATAGAAAACATCTATAATAAACAATTAGCTACTTTCAAATATATATGTGTGTATATATATATACACACACACACATATATACACTTTCATATATATATAAAAGTATGAAAGTAGGTATATATATGGCTTAAGCCTTTGTCGATTACCAACACAGATACCAGAGATACATCTACTCTTACTAAGGCCAAAGGCTATTTTCTATGAACTGAACAATCTTACTGTATTTTCACAGAAGCAACCAAAAAACGCCAACAAGAATAATCAGTGATGCCCCTCCCTCCCTGCCCCCTCCCATCCCAAAAATAATACTGCAACATTCAGTAACTTCTAGTATTTAGAGTGAAGCCCTTGTTAGTTACATGAAAGTGAAACTGACAGCAGGTTTAGCTAAGAAGTTTACCCCAAGAAAGAAAACTTTCACACTTCCATTCACTTTCTTAAAAGGACTCTGAAAACACAATCTTTTATTTCTCCTCCCATGTAAAATACTAACACGTGTTTGTTTTTATTCTTACAACCTACAGTATGCAAAGTACAGGCTTTTTATCAGGATGAAAATTTCAGCCACATAATAAACAATTCAGAAGACAGCCTCATTATAAATCTATCAAATTATGTTAAACATCAACAGTGTGTTCTGGCACGTCTAGAAGGAATGCTCACAATGGCATCCACACACAACCACAAGTGCTTCAATTAGTTGTAGCTCAAAGCACTTCCTTACTTTCTCCTTTCAAAAACACCGTTGAGCAAGGCACGTATTCCCAAGGATTCCCCCATCTGCTGCTACTTCTTGCAACCAGACATGAAAGTGCCACGGAAGCCATGTTAGCCAAGTCAAAAATCATCATTGGATTCAAAAAGGAAACTGATTTTTGAAAAAAAAGTAATAAAAAGAAAAAAAAAAATACATCAGTGCAAACTCCCTTAATTGTTCCTCTCCAAAGCATCCTTCCATGAACTGATGTACATACTCACACAGATTTCCCACTCTTGCAAAAAGTAAGGGCAAATAATTATCACCACAGACCACTGAGGAATATCAGACAACTATTTTATGTTAGTGGTGTCTGGTTTATGAACTGGGTTATTAGTAGCCCTTTATGAACAGAATTAAACAAATACCTATTTTCACTACAGATTCAGTTTGTGTCTTTTTATTCCAAGGTAGCTAGGATCTTAGCAAAAATGCTTCTACTACAGTGAGATTTTTGGACTGAAAGTTACAAAGATTGAGTAAGAATCAGAAACAGAAACACTCACACGCTTCTGAGTGAGCTGTTTTTTCTAACATGACTCCCACGCATCGAACCAGTGTTACTGTAACTCTTCTCCTGAAATCTGTCTTGTTCTCCTCCTTGGGGCACTGGAGATCAGCCACAGCTTCCCTTCTTTAGCCATGGTAGTGTTCTTCATGTATGCCAAATCCATCTTGGGAGAGACCCCCTCTTAAACCACACACCACTAACAGTTCCGAGTCATATTAATAGGAAATAAGAGTTGAACATAATTCCACCCATTACTAGTTTTTCAGAGCCCATGTAAGTGTCATGTCACACACAACAGGGAGATAAAACAAGCTAACATATTCTGATTTCCATAATACGCAATGACCACGCAGAGGAACTCTGTTTAAATAAGTTTTATCCATCTAACAATAATTTAATTATTATTACCTATTATTTCCTTTTTTTTTTAAATTAATTACAAGTTCCATACCAGCTACCTTTCCTTTTGGTAGCTGAAATAGGAAAAGAAAGGAGGGCACAGAGGCTGATGCTGTTCAGCATGCAGAGAAACTAACAGGTACCGAGTCTAGTTCTGGATGCAGATCCAGTGAGGCGCAGTACTTTTCCTCAGACAAAAAAAAGACCTGTAACTAACTATTCTTTCCTTTAACTAGACAATTCCTTATTGTTTGATAAAGAAATACATTCAAAATAGCTAAATATGTCCATCTATTTAGCAATCTAACAGAGCTTCATTTATAGCCTTTTCTGTTGACTTTCATTAGAAAGTTTCCTACCTGTGAATTGCATTATTGGCAAAAAAAATATATTCTTGAAATTTTTCTGATGCTATAAATAGATTTCCTCTATACACTCCTACTGTGATCTACAAATAACTTCATATATATTAAATTCATATTGTTGGCTGAAAAAGTCATCAATTTAGAGGTAATGAAGGAGAAAGTGCTAGACTGCCAATATTAGGACACCTGGCGGGGCGAGGGAATCGCCAG